TGCTCCCCACACGACGTACTCTGCCAAGTTTTTGATTGAAATTGAACTCTCTACTTCAATCAACGAGTACAAATCGCGGGCTCGGTTGGCGTACGTTTTGAAATCTTCGTTTGCTTTGAGTTTCAGTTGACGGATAGCTTTCTCGGTGTCGTAAAGCCATCCAGTTGGAAGAGTTTCCGTTGCCAGTGCATGCATGATTTCGTTCCATGATAGGGAGATGAGGTCGTTTTCCATACGTCTAAGCCAGTTCCCTGCTCGCGGTTCCACCACGATTGTTCCCAGAATGATCAATCTTTCTTCGACGTCGTCTAAACGTTTCAGCTTAAAAAATTGTTCTACTAATCTTCGCCAGTTAAAAAGGGCAGCGGGGTCTTCGACGGGTCCGGTGAACTTAGGTGCGTCTGACAGCTTGATATCACTAGCTCGTACCTTCACGTCTACAGGTGCCTCTCGTGGTGTGGTGGTCGGGGCGTTAGTCGTCTGGGTTGCCATTACATTAGCAGGAAGTTCGTCGTGAGGATCGATTTCCGGTCTTGCCCGCGGTGTTGCAGGTCGATAATCCGCGGCCATGGGTGTCGCACTAGAAGCTTCGTACCCTGATTGGTTGAATTGACTCAATCGTGGTGCGTTAGGTTCTTCGACGATGACTGTGAAGGGTGCCGTAGGTTTCATTGCTTGTGTCGTCTGCTTTGATTCAGTAGGCGAACTTCTACTACCGGCTGGAGTTGGCGTTCCCGGACTGCCACGAAACCGTGAAAACCAATGATGAGATGGTGTCGCGGTATTAGATCCTGATCCTGCCGAGTTCGTTGGCTGTTGGCTTGAGATCAATCGTGACATCGACGCTTCTAGAGCCATGATTCTGTCCCGGTCCGTCCTCAAGGTATTAACCTCAGCTTGAAGTCGTGCAATTATGCTATCCTTGTCCTCTTCGTATTCGGACTCTGGTCCTTTGCCTTTCGACATCGCCGCGCTTTCCATCGCGGGTTGCGGTGTGAAGATAAAACTACCTGGTAGAGTCGGGGTCTCCGCAGTCAATGTAGAGTTGAAGTATTGGCGCACGATTCTAGCGTCAGGAGTGATAGTGGTGTCAAAGGGGTCTGGTAGTGTCTCAGGTGTCGATGTTACGATTGGTGTCGCGGTCGTACTGGCTGTCAAGGTGTAGTTGGCTTCAGGAGTGTCTAAAGGTGCGTCAGGCTTATAATTGTATCTTGGCGGTGCTGGTGCGGCAGGTGGACTTTCGGTGGCAAGTTGTCTTTGTCTTTGTGAGCGTATGAGAGTTTCTGGATCGCTGATAAAGTTCGCGGGGAGTGCGAATCCTATCAAGTGGTCGATCTAAGTTGAGTATCTCAGGCTTGTCTTGAAAAAAAAACTTCGCAGATTTTGAAAGAAAGAAAAAAATAGATTTGCTTGACTTTCGATTTGAATACTACTGGAATGTTTGAATTTGGGTAGATTAAAAAAGTGTAAGACTCCGAAGGGAAGTCTTCACTGGGCAAGGTGGGACGGGAGCAAGGCTCCAAGGGTAATCTAAAACCCTTCAATCTATTCCAAAACAAGACTAGCTCCAACCGAAGTATTTGGTGAATCAGCTCCTAGCTCCTAAGATAAGATGAGAGATGGGAAAGGAGAACTGAAATACAAATAGTGAAATGAGGTGCTCACCTAGCTCCAACCGAAGTATTCGGTGAAGAAAAGGATCTTTGTGGAGCTAGGTGCGTGATGACTATACAATCTAACCTGTCTACAGCCATAATGGCTTGTACCTGTATGTAACCCTTACATTAGCTCAAACTATACCAATCCCGCCTGTCCCTGTACAACCAGCTGCCCCCTGTGCTCCTAAAGTTGCAACACCCAACAAATTCAACGGATCAAAAGGTTCAAAAGTTGAGATCTTCATCAACCAATTGAGTCTGTATATGAAGTTAAACGCTACAGCTTTTGAAAATGAACAAGCTAAGGTGGCTTTTGCACTGAATTACACAACAGGAAAGGCCAACATGTGGGGACAGCAGATTATGGAACAATTGTTGAATGATGAAACTGCTGAATTGGTAACTTGCAAAAAATTCATAGACTCATTTAAAGCTACATTCTTTGATACAGAAAGGTTGGTAAAGGCAGCAAAGGAGATAAGAGCACTTAAGCACATTAAAGATGTATCAGATTATTGCCCGGTACCACACAGTACCGTACCGCTGCTCGCCAGCTAGATACCGGTACAGTACCGGTACCTGACTGCTAAAGAGCTATGGTACTGGGCTTCAAGTCATAAGGTGTGCTCACCTCTCAGGTACTGCACTAGATAATGTATCTGAGTGCAGGTACAGTGTACTGCAAAAACTCAGTACCGTTTTGTCAGGTACAATACTGGTAGTGCAGGTACGGTATCAGTACCATATCTGTTGCTGCGTTGCTAGGAGCCGCGCGCCTGGGCGCGGGCTTTTTTGAGAAAAGGGGTGGGTGTGCCCTCAAACCTAATTAGGTGAGAAAAGGAGGTTTCCACCCTTTCTCACGCCCCCCTGCAAGGAGTTGCCACTCTATTGGTGTTGGCACATTTATTCATTGACCTGTCAATTATGTCACCTAAAGCAACATGGATTGAGCCTGCTTCAGGTAGCGGTACCAAATGGAATGGTTTCAAAGCATTCAGCATTTGCCACCACGGACACCACCATGCTAAGTGTAACTCTGCATTTGAAACACAGCAAAGACTGTATTTTTTGGTTTTCAGTGGTAAACTTTGAGGTTTAATCTTCTTCAAGCTAGTAAAAGACTTCATTATTTTTTTCTGAAGTCCAACATATAATGAATTAGTAGTACCATAGTGTCCAAAGAGCTGTTGAAATATAGTGTGGGCTACACCAGACTGTACCGCTGACTGTAGCCATCACACTGAGGTCCAAGCATTGGCATGGTGATCTAGGGTATACAAAGTTTGTTCTGGAAATTTCCAGACAACATTTTCCAGAACATTAGACGTCTCCTGCTGTTCTGAAATACACACAGTGTTGGTTATTTAACGCTTCAGAACACCATAAGGTCACAACACACCCCCAAAAAAATTCTGGTGTTCTGGGAAAACCCTTCTGGAAATTTACAGAACTATATTTTTATACCCTGATTGGGATTGAAGCAATGGACAAGTGCAAAATTGGAGCTTTTGAATGTAACAATGACATAGACCACCTTTCACAGGTAAACATGTGACAGGTTTCTTGTGTCACCTTCAAATTGGCAATCAGCAACCCCTGGTGGGACTCTTGACCCCTCTTGAATCATAGTGTGTTGAATTTGGTGTTCATTCAAACTGAGAATGGGTGGTGGGCAGAGTGGCTTGATGTGTGGCCAACAACTCACACAGCTGGCAGATTGCTTACGCTGCGCTCATAGTGTTTTGCTGTGGGGTCTATCTCTACATTACCGCTACACTAACCAAGAAGGCACATGATGTTGAGTATTGGAAATCATACCTAATGACAATGTTATGTAAGAATGTATCTTGAAGGAATTCAAGAAGAGTTGGATTATGACATAAGGAAATTGGTAATTGCTCAAAAGGGTTCATGTTCTCTCATATGTTTTATTTCAAACCTCCTATTTGTTTTCTACACAAAGATGTAATGTTTCTATGGTTGTCCCAATTTTTTCTATGTTGTTTTCATTTCTAATATTTTCATCTTTCTCTCTTTTAATATTTCTCTATACTATACACCATCAAGGATATCTAAACTTATAACAAATATCAGATCACTACAACAAATAGTCTTGTGGACAGTAACTGACTGCAGGAGGAGTCTGCCACCTATCTTTTGTTATCAGGTAATCAGAATCTTCTGATGGGTGATCATAAAAGAACATAAAGATACATCATATCAACATTTCTTATTGTAGACATAGTAGGGTTCATCCATTAGTCCTAAAGTCATTCGCAGTCACCAAGTTCTTACTAGTATTGATCTTGTTTTAGGTACTGACTAAGGTCTACATGTTTCAATTTGATGATTGTTTTATTTTTTTTACTAACTTCTTGTTTTAGTTGTTTTGAAATCTATAACTGTGTTTGATTGCTACAATAAAGACACAAAGATCTCAAATCCTTTCACATGAGGGCCACATAAAAGCTCATTTGTGTATTGTTCACCCAATCCCATACACAAACCTAAACCAATCTCAAAAGGGTCATTCTGACGTGTTCAACAGTGAAAGTCGCCCCGCGGTGTAGTAGATTGCCGGAATCCGCAAGTTCTGTCATCTATAGGTGTGTGTGCTCAATTACATAGGCCTACGAGGCCTAGGACAATACAAAGCAGTCAAATCCTCCATGTTCATTATAAGATATTTTTGATACAAAAAGTTCTACCCAAGGCCATGCACATGATGACATATGTAGATATGAGATATCTCCTCAACCTTTACTTGAGGGCCGTGTAGTTGAATACCATCTGGAGCCGTGCCTCTATGGATTTTCTGTTTGTAGTGAGTATCCAACACCTAGAAAATATCTGTGTTGGTATAGACATGAGATTGTCCAGATCAATCACAAGTGTGCACTCTCATAGCTTCATTGGGCTGAACTTGAGACCTTGATTTGATTTCTGCTCTGATGAAGAATTCTCGCATGTTTTTCCTTAGGACGGCACTATTTGGCGCCCGCTCGGATAATACCCGAAGCCCGGTTTATCCGGGGCCGTACCCGCAACATTAGTAGCAACCCGGACCCTTCTCAGCCAAATTTCCCTGCAGCGCGCACCCAAACCGGGCGCAACTACCTATACACCGCCCCTTTATGTCATTTAGGGCTCCACATATCCCAAACCGGGCATACAGATATATCAATCGGGCATTTCCGTCATAACCAGGCATTTAGGACGCCAACCTCATCCAGCAAACCGGGCAGAGAGCATTCTTCGTTCCCTTTCCATCTCCATCCCTCCTTCGATTCGATCGACTTACCGCAAGTGGACGCTAGTTGACACTAGTTGTCTTGTCCCAAGATGGTAAGTCTCACTCTTGAGTCTCTCACCTCTCCTGTGGACTTCGAAACCACACGCTGACCCTTCCTTATCCCTTCTCTCTATCAGGTGTCGATCTATACTTTGACTCTAAGTTCTCTTGACCATCCAACTTACCAAATCATGTTCTCAACGCATCAACCCCCAACAAGTCAATCAACAGGTGACCCCAGTATGGCTCCCGGTTCAAAAACAGTCTTACCAAACACGATAGCTCCCCCAACGTTTGTTCGGGAAATAGTACCATCCCAATGTTTGCCACCACCACCACGACCTCCATACCATCCATACAACCCTTACATGTTGCCTGTTCCCGACTACTGGCCCCCACACCCACACCCAGACTTTAGTTATCACCATGATACCTCAGCCAACGAGGCGATTAGTGAGGACCCTCATCGTTTCCCAAACTCTCATAACTGGCGATATTACCAACCTCAACCTTATCCTTACATGTATCATCCACCTCCTTCACATCATGGCCAGTACCCATCAAGTTTTCGTCCGAGCACTCATCATCTTACTCACATCACGCCTCAAAGCCGTACTTCCGAGGTCGAACAACCAGCTACCCCTTCCACAAATTCCAGCATCACTCCAGCAGACGACGTTGTTCCCAACCTTACTTCAAACTTGAATCAAGACCCTATAGTTCCGAATCACGATCCTAAAGTACCAGCTCAAGATCCTATAGTTCCGATTGAAGATCCTATAGTTCAAATCCAAGATCCTATAGTTCAAATTCAAGATCCTATTGTTCCAGCTGTTGTTATTCAAAACCTTACAGAAGCCGAAAAAGACATCGATGACGAAGAAGAGGAGTATATTGACATCCAAGCTGAGCGTGATGAGGATTGGCCTCCTATCGGTTGGTCATTTCATTTAGCTTGATTTTTTGATTTCAAATCACGATTGCTCACCACCTAAACTGACTTTTATGGTTATGGTTTCTCTTTTGCTCTGGTGGGACCAGGAGAACCGCCGATCAAACTCATGAACTCGACTGTTTTCGGCAAGGAATTTGTAGCTTTGGAAAGTGGAGTAATGTATCTGAACGCAGTCGCCCGGCACCAAGGATACGGCATTGCGATCAAGAGTCACAAGACCGTTAAGAATGGAAAAAAGGTCCGAGTGTATTTCAGGTGTTGCCTGGGCCGTTTGGTGGCATCTGTGGCCACTCAGCGCGAAACTTCAACTAAGATGACCAATTGTCCCTTTGAGCTATCTTTGAACTACCATTCACGTAAAGAACGATGGGTTGTACAGCATGACCCCAAGACCGCTGCAAAACATCATCACAACCACGAAGCCTTTGATCAACCCAACAATCACTCAAAAAACCGGCAATTTTCGGATGCAATCTTAGACGAGATGGAACTCCTGGCGTCAGCTGGATGTCGTCCTGCACAAATCCGGGCCCTCATTAAATTTCCCCCCGGCTGCGAACCACTTGTACGAGACATCCGAAATGCATTATCTCGGCAGAGAGACACCTGGTTACGTGGTCGAACACCAATCCAAGGGCTTTTTGATCTCATTACCGAAGAAAAGTGGGCATTTAGAACGACAACGTCCAGCGATGGTACCCTCAATTCGCTATTCATGGCCAGCCCTGACGGAATAGAACTAGCTCGTAGATTTCCCACGGTCATAGGAATTGACTGCACTTATAAAACGAACAGATTCAACTTGCCGCTTCTTCACATAGTAGGAACCACCAACTGTCACAAAACATTTACAATAGCTCTTTGTTTCATGCATAGCGAAGTGGAGGATTGCTACATTTGGGCTTTGGAGCAACTGAAACCTGTAGTGTTCAATGGCGATTCCGAAAACACAAATATCGAACTACCCAAGACTTTCTGTACCAATGCGGAGCCGGCCTTGTACAACGCCATCAATAAAGTTTTCCCTGCTTCGTCACATCTGCTGTGCATATGGCACATAAATTACAATATTGGCAAGAAATGTAAGAAAAACTTCAAAGGCCCTGAATGGACGGAGTTTATGAAGATATGGAATCGTTACATTCAAAGCACGACAACTGAACAACATGACGAAAACCTGGAAGCTGTGACCACCATAGCTCGACGACACGGCATCTTAGAGTATCTCGAGAAAACTTGGATTTCTTGTTCACACAAGTTTGTGGCACTTTGTACTTCTCAAACTCCACACTTTGGGAACTCCTCGACTTCGCGAGTTGAAGGTGGTCACCATTGCCTTAAAAAATTCTTAAATGGGAGTAACAATGATTTTCTGATGTGCTTCAAGGCCTTTGAGCGTGCTGGTGACTTGCAATACAAAGAAATCAGTATTTCATTAGGTGTTGAAAACCAGAAGACCTTACTTGGTATGCCAGATTCGTTTCAAGAACTTAACCGGGTCATTTCGCATTTTGCGCTCAAGAAAATCAAAAAACAATATGATCTCATTTCAGAATCTTTCAAAAGAGACTGTACTAATTGTTTTCGCGGCGCCTGGGGTTTACCCTGTTCTCATGATCTCGCTCCGGCATTCGAAGATTCTAACAACAAATACTTGTTGCCAACTCTTGTCCATCAGCAATGGCATTGCTGCCTCGCCGCGCCTCCTGGAAGCCACGAAGAACTCCAAAACGCTGTGAAATCAAAGATCAATCAATTGATTGAGCTTCCGGAACATTCTCTTCGCAAGATCTATGAAGAATTAGGCAAACTCAAAACAGGTCGATATTCTTTGATTCCAATTGAAAATGCAAAAGTAAAGACAAATACACCACGGGGCGGCCGGCATGTGAAGATCAGGTGAAATTGGCCTCTGCCAATAAATCCTAGGCTCTTCACACTATGCCACATTTACCGGCGCCACATGAAAGCCAGTGTGACCATCACCTGACACGGCCATGTGATCACAAGATGATGGCTCACCTGGTCATTAGGTGAGAAGGCTCACCTGGTCATAGTGCGAGTCATCTCAACCTAGTGACCAGGTGACCCATCACCTTGTGAACAGGTGAGCCTTCAGCTAGTGAACAGGTGAGCCATCACCCAACAAACAGGTGGGCCATCTCACCCAACAAACAGGTGGGCCATCTCACCCAACAAACAGGTGATGGGTCACCTATTCAGGTTCACCGTATTCCAGTCCTGTTTCATTAGGACCGAATTTTATTGTTCTGGCTCAGGGATCTCACATCTATAGCATTCTTGCTACATATAGTAAATTTCAGGGAGACTGGAAACAATACAAATGAGAAAGGAAATAGTAATTACACTCAGAACAAAGCCTAACAAATAAATTGAGAAAAAAAAAAAAAAAAAAAATTGAAGAAAAAAAAGAAAATCATCTTAAACTACAGGTGAGCCAGTGTCTTCATTTACAGATGGATCATGAAGCCCATTTACAAATCCATCATCATCTTGCTGATCTCCATTTCCTTCTTCTTCTTCTTCTTCTTCTTCTCCTTCTTCTCCTTCTTCTTCTTGATGTTCATGTTTTTGTTCTTCTTCTTCTTCTTCTTGATGTTCTTCTTCTTCTTCTTCTTCTTCTTCTTCTTGATGTTCTTGAATCTGATTCTTTTGCTTCTTTTTGTCAGCTTTTTTCTTTTTCAAGCGGGTGTATTCATACATAATCTCATCTTCTGTAGGGGGAGCCATTTCGTCTTCTTCATCAATTTCCGTGTAAGCCAAAGAGTGTTCGAAATATTGATTATTAAGCTCCATGATTGAGTTGTAGAACCTGGAAGAAAAAGTTGTCAGATTATTAAAATCATAAGAGACGAGTTAAAAAAATAGAATAAAAACTTACGCCTCCTTGTATAACTTTCCATGCTCGGCTTTCTGAATCTTGAGGAATTCCAGAGTGTCATCAACACTATTCCAGACACAATACTTGTGATCAGTGCTTGGAATTTGATAAGTGTGGACAGCATGTAAGCGCTACCAAGGACCATCATAAATATCAGTATATAGTGAAAAATGACATAAAGATAGCAATAACTTACCAAGAAAGCCAGTCGATGTTTGAAGTCTTTGGAGACATGCTCAAATAGCTGGTCTTCTGTCCGAGGGTCAGTTTGAAGGATAAATGTGTGGTGGACCTGCTTGAACAAAAAAATAACTAAGCAGAGAAACAAGTAAAAAATAAATAAATAAAACCTTACCAAACTAACAAGACGCTTAAGACTGGGCATGGGGTGGGTGGGTTTTGTTTTGCCCGATGGTTTGACATTAGTAAGCAGCTAGTAATAATGAAGCATGGGTCAGCAAGATGGAAAAGCAATTGATAATACAAAAAAGTACTTACTGTGTTACGTAAACGGCTACGTGTGTCGGTTGCCAATCGATTGGCCCAGTCGTTAACAGCCTTGGTTGCTGCAGACCCATCAGGGGTTCCATACCCAGGAGGGTACTGAGCTGCTATGAATTCTGTGTCTTTCGATTTGATATACTTCTACAATAGAGATCATAATTAAAATCAAACAAAAAAAAAGAATAAAAGAATAAAAAAACGTACTTTGCATAGCGCATCAAAAGTATGGTGTATGGCAGTTTGCATGGAGTCTTGGGTCCGAGAGTACGCTTGAATTTGAACATCCACAATCAAGGCATTGAAGTCGGGTCAAGCCACATCCTAAATAGAAAAACAAACATATCAGTGGAAAAAAGGAAGATGAAAGGAGAAGAAAAAACTCAAACTTACCTTTAGTACATCAGAAGGCTTCCAACTGTTGACAGCAGTAGACTGGAGAGCAAGTGGCCGATTTGCCAATCCGCTCTCAACAGTTTGCTGGATGTAAGAGAGGAACCCGATCGTTCCAATGAATTGATTTTCTGGTCGAGTATCCTGAAAGACACATATCAGCCAATGATTATAAGAGAAAGAAATAAAGAAAAGAACTACTTACCTCGCATATCTTCAGGACTTGCTTGTGAGACTCGCTAGAGAGGTTGAGAGATTCCACAACTTGATTTAAGTAAGTTTTCTGGCTATTGGTAAGAACATGTGGCTGGACAAAAGTGGGATGGTTAGTAGGATGTGTAGAAGGGACAGCAGAGGAAGTCGCAGCGTTGGAATTGTTGTTGTTGGTCTTCTTGGACCGGTTAGAGTTCTTTTGAGCTTGGGAAGTGCTTGGAGCCAGGGCAGCGTGTTGTGCAGATGGTTGGTGTTTTCTTCGTACTACAGAAGAACAGGGAACAGTATCAGTTAATGCAGTCAAGGTAAGAAAGAAAACTTACCACTTCTTCCAGAGGGTGCAGGTTCAAAACTGGCCGGAAGCGGAGACAATCTGTCTTCATATTGGGTGCGCTTCTTCATCTTGGTTTTGGGCATCTTGATGATCGGTGGTCTCGACGAGTTAATCGATCCTACTGAAATGACTAACACAAACAGATGAGTTATATTAGCAATGGTGTTGTGATAAAGGGTCCGAGAGAAAGGAGGGATTAAAATACTTACAAAAGAATAACTAATCCTTGAGAAATGATTGATCCGACTGAAAATTCAATCCAACCACAATTAAAATGAAATTTGAAGATGATCGAAATTTGAATAAATGATCAATCCTATTCCAACATGAAAGATGAATCTGTTGTGGAGATAAGCAAAAACTAAGACAAACAAAATGACATTACTGTTGTTGTTATAACAAAGAGTTTGAGATAAGAAGATATCAAAAATAACTTACAAATGGATGACCGATTCAAGTTCAAGTCCAATGAACAAGTGAGAACCTAAAGTATCACAATCAAAAAACTAAAACTAAAACTGAAAACAAATCAATCATACTTCAAGACAAGAGGCTTACCAACAAAAAGGGAAGAAAGCTTGATCCGATAACTTTGAAGGAAGCGAAGTAAAGATTGAAAAAACGTACAGACGGATGATCGATCCAAGTCCGAGATGAACAATCAAAAATCAAAAGTACCGCAATCAAAAATATAACTTTGAAATGAACTGAATACAAAGAATTGATCTTCAAAAAAAAGAGTTACCAACAAAATGATGTTAGTGATGTTGTTGTAATACGGAGTTTGAGATAAGAAGAGGTTAAAACAACTTACAAACAGATGATCAATCCAAGTCCGAGATCAACAATCGAGAACCTAAAATATCACAATCAAAAAATCAAAACTGAAAACAAGAAATCAATCAAACTTCAAAATAAGAGACTTACCAACAAAAAAAAGAAAGAAAGCTTGATACAATAACTTTGAAGCAAGTGAAGTAAAGATTAAAAAAACTTACAAATAGATGATTGATCCAAGTCCGAGATGAACGATTGAAAATCTAAAGTACCACAATCAAAAATTCAAAATTGAAAACAAAAGATCAATCAAAAGTCAAGATAAGAGGCTTACCGACAAAAAAGGAATATAGGTTGATTCACTAACTTTGAAGGAAGTGAAGTAAAGTGATCTCATGAACAAGAAAGACAACAGAGACAGGAGAGAGACTTACAATAAATAAATGGATCTGATCCAAGTCAAAGAGAGACCTTTGACCAATGTGGATCCGAAGAGATTGGAAAAAAAGAAGATCGATCAAAGTGAAAATTGAAATGATTGAAGTTGAATTGAAATTGATCGGAAGAGAAGTGGTCCTAAGTGGTGGTGCACCGGTCACACCTGTGATGCCTAATACTGAATGTCACACCTGTGATATGTAAGGTTCAAAATCCTTTGATCAACTTTCCAATGCACACAGTTGAACTTGGGAGTAGCTCACGCTGATTGTTTTTTTCCTTTTGCTTGTTTGTCTTTGAAAGTTAGATTTTAAGGTTCAGATTTGAATCCGACTGACCTAATCTTCTTTTTTGATTCCAAATAACAGGATATCTTGATCTTTCATTGAGCCAAAACAGTATCATATTGATCAAATGGTATAACTCCACCTGTAATTTCCTTTGAGAACAATTTCAGCTCTGATATATTATGTACATCTTTGTAACTAGTTGATTATAGGAGAAAGAAAAAGTAAAATCAAAATCCGAGTTAGTCAATTTTGTTTGGTTTTTTTCTTTGAGGGTCAAGTGGGGTCTTGTTTACCTCTTTCATCAATTGATGCTTGTAAATTTTCAATCACTATTTCTTCACCTGGAACTCTATAAATCCCTTGTTGATCAATTCCTAAGAAATCCAGAAATACCAAAGATAAGTTTTCCTCGAAACCCTTTATTTGACATATCTTCTACTGCTCCTACTTTTAGGGTCGTTCCAATCTTGCTCCAAAGTTTTAAATATTTCTCAGGTTCTTTTTTAAATACTTCATTTGAATAATCAATACCAATAAATAAATGGATCTGATCCATGTAAAACTGAGTTGAGGGTGTTCATTGTGAAGAGTTCTTGAGAATGCTGAGATGTGAAGTGGTTCTGAAGTGAAGTTGATTGAGTCAAGTCAATTGGATAGTGGAAATTGATTCAAGTCTAAGTGCTTAAGATACCTAATTTGATGTTTAAAATTTAATCAGAATCACCATCCAGCACTGTTTCACTGAAGCCGTTGAATTGAAATCCAACTCATCACAAAACAACAACAGCAAAGACCACCACCACCAAAACAAAACAACAAACAACAAAACAAGTTACAGAAAAGATGAATCCATCCAAACCATCAAACACTCCCATTTAGACAAATCAGGTTATCATCTGAATCAAAGACAACAATCTTCAATCATCAAACAGAAAATGAAAAAATTATCTTCTACTACCATTAAATTCCATTCTAATTCTAATTCAAATTCTAGGTTAATTAGTTCTCCTCTTTTATTGCTCTAAGTGATTGAACGGAGTGAGATCTTCAACCAGTGACTGTAGTAGTGATTGTAGAAATCAATTGAACTTCATGTGTATATGTACTACTCCAAAACTCATCCGATCTCATCCGATCATACTCAAAACTCATCCAAAACTCATCCAAAACTCATCCGATCATACTCGAAACTCATCCGATCTCATCCAAATCTCATCCAATCTCATCCGAAACTCATCCGATCTCATCCGATCTCATCCGAAACTCATCCGATCTCATCCGATCTCATTTGAAACTCATCCGATCATACTCAAAACTCATTCGAAACTCATCCGATCTCATTTGAAACTCATCTGATCTTGTCCGATCATACTCAAGACTCATCCGAAACACATCCAACCTCATCTGAAAGGAAGTTAATAATTTCACAAAATAAACACAATATTGGATTAAAATTATAATACTTTACATCAACTTGAACAATCTCAGACTCATCAACAGTTAAACTTCGTCTTCAGGTGTTGAGGCGCCATCAGGATTCACCCAGGTGTCAAGACCCTGTGTAACAGAAGAGCACCATTCTTCCCGAGTGACATCTTCCACTTCGAAACTAGCCATCTCACGATGGACTTGAGCGGAATAGAAAGAAGAAGAATTGAGGATATATGAGTTATGTTCAGAGTGATTAACTTCCCATCCTTTTTGCCTGATGACGCGCCGTTCAACCATCTGAGTCTTGGTTCGAAGAATTTCACAATCTCCATCATGACAGTTGTGCTGGAAATTCAAAAGGCAGTTGATGTCCTAATAAAAAATTTGGTCAGCATTTTTTTTTTAGAAAAAAAATCATGGCTTTGAAAGACGCACTTTAAGCTGAACCCACACCTTATCCTCACATTTTTGAAACTCTTTCATATAATAAAAAGGATGGATTCCTGGGATGGGCTGAGTGCGGACAATTTCAACCCAAGCCTGAGAGTTTGTTGGTGTGGTACCTTGCCATACAGAGACAACACATCCAATAGATTCATTGACAGTGTTTGCGTCAGTTGCTTGACGAATCTAAAAAAAAAGATTTCAATATTTTGACCAAAGAAAGATAAGACGATTGGACAAACAAATACAAAAGCGTCAGCCTTGACCTTCTGATTCTTGCTCAGGATAGCGGTTTCAACAGATTTCCATTCATGTTGAGGAAATGCTCTCTTGAGTTGCTCTGGACAATTGGAAGCATCCTTGGAATCTGATTTGACAATGATCACAAAACCCAAAATATGAGTGTGAATTTTCAAGAGAAGATAAATGATACACTCACAAATAAACTTGACTTTGGGTTTCTTGTTCCAATCAGGATCAAAACCTAAACCCTTCTGGATGATTTTGTTGTTTTCAAACAACTCCCGAACCTTTGGTCCTGCTCGAAACGTCCCACCAAGTTCTTTATCAAAGAAATGACTTCCAGAGAATAAAATTCGCAAGAGACGATGAGTGGTGGAGGTGATGGCGATGTCACGCGATGGACTTTGATTATTCGAATGGACAGATCCATCACGCGTGACACGGTTGAAGCTTTCAAGCTTTTGAGTTGCAAAAAGGATAGCTGGACCAAGCCGGGCAATAGAATTTACGAGATGAAGTAGCATGTGAAATTTAGGTTTATTTGTCCATTGGGCATTGAGAGAGATGAGTTGATTTAAGAAGCGTCGAATGAGTACTTCGAGTTCAGCAAGATAAACCTTCATATCGGGTATTTCAGGTTGGAAGATATACGATCCGAGATTTGAAAGGTAGCTCCAGAGTAGACGGTGCTCCTCGTCCATGTATTCAAAAAGTACAAAAGCAACCGTTTGCATAACAACAGCAAACTCTTTACCAACTAAGCTCTTGGCGTTGTCAATCATAGTTCGAGGAATGATTGGTGCGATGTTGAGTCCAGAAATGTTGAAAGAAGCATATCGCGCTTTGATATCATCATGATGACGGGGAGGAATAGTGTCAATTGCATCACCGTGAAGGTATTTAGTAATTCCAAGAAGGACGACATGTAGAGTCTCTACCGGAGTGTCTAAGTGACCATCAAAGCCTGTTGAAGATATGAATCTCAGCTTTAGTGAATTTATCAAAAAAAAAATAGATAAATCAAATAAAGATCAAATAAAAACCTTTGAGATCCAAGAGTGGATTGAACAACAAGTCACCAAACTCCTCATCAAGTAATTCACATTTTTCTTTGATAGCTTGTCGCTCCTCTGGTGTTCGTGTAGGCATCTCTTGAATCATTCGAATAAATTTTAAGTTTATGCTATCTCGTATTCCGTAATTTTTTGACAATTTAGTAAACCTCAGCTTAGATCTTGGTTGTCGAACTACTTTCCAGAGCTCCTTTGTATGTTCTTTTGTGATAGCCCAATCACGAAAGTTGAAAGGTTTCTAGAGAAAAGATCTAATCAGTAAAATTTTTCTTTTCTTTGAGAAAAACATAAATCACATACCACAGAACCATCAGCGCTTAAACCTAAGAAATCCTTTATGTAAGTTTCTGTTTTCTTTTTTTCTTTAGATTCCACACTCAAATCGCATATACGGCAAGGGTTGAGTGTCATTGACGGATTAGGTGTGTTGGAAATTTCGGCATGCATTGGAGAGTTGCCACAATGATAAAGTGGTAAAGCTGTTACATAAACGTCTTTCTTTAATGTTGAATTGTATGCTAAAAATCCTTCACTGCTCATCTGACTAAAAAACAAAGATTAAAATCAGTTTCAAGACAATATAAAAAAAGTTTTAAAAGTTTTTACACATACTTGAATTCATCTACAGTCCTACCAAAAAGCTCAAGTGCGTTCGCAGTGTTTGTAGTTGCTACAAAGTGTATGTTGAACTCTTGATTAGAAAGCTTAGCTGGTAAACCGGCGAGTATTGTATATATAGACATATGCTTGTTCCACTTCTTTGACACGTTTCCAGAAGTATCGTCGGAATAAAGTATCATAGGTATTTGTTGAATTAACAATCCATTTGCACGAATTCGCCAAGGATTTGGAAGTGGAATGGACAAAATATTTTCGCCGTCTGGTTCTGAATCATAAAAAAGATGTGTATTCAGCATACTGAATAGAAAGACAACAGGAAGAAACTCACGAAACAGTGTGTTACTACAAAAATCCTTCAGTATTGAACCGTCTGATAATTCCAAGTTTGGATACGGACAATAAAATTGATCAACTGAAATAATTTGGTAATTTTCCGAGTTCCAGTCTTCTTCTTCTGGGATTGAGATTTTGAGACCGGTATCTAATTCAGATGGTTGATCAAATAACTTGAAAGATTTCGAAAAAATGACACCTTTTTGCTGATAAAAATGAATAGGAACAACTCGCTCGCCAGAAAGAAGCTGAAGAGGCTCGTAGATATAGTAATGAAATGAGTTATGTTCAATCATTTGGACTCGTAAATCTCTAGAATAATCTTCTCTCCACTTTTTTGATTGTGAAAGACGGTTGATGGGTTCGTCGACAACAGCCTCCGGAATGAACACCAGGTGCGGACTAACAAGTGGATTGCTCAATTCCTACGTCATAGAAACCAGTCAACTTGAATCAATGTTTGTTCATCTCAAATGAAAAACTAACCTGTGTGATAATCTCTTGCATCTTCAATCCAAAATACGGATTTCCTAAAGGACTTTCTTGTTCAGCAACAGTTAGACCTAACCGCTTCTTCAAACGTTCACGCATGTCTCGAGTGGTGTTATATGTTTGAAGAAATATTAAACAGATTGCAAAAATTGACCGTATCCGTTTGTATTCGTCTCTTGAGATCAAGTTTCGCGAACTTCCAATCAAAAGGATTGATACAAGATGCGATCCGAGAACACAAAATGAAACAGTCAGTATTTCCAATATAACTCGACGAAAAAAACTAAAAAAAAAAGACTCACTTCCTTCTTCTTGAATGGATACCAGTCACTCGTCCGATCATATGTAAGTAATGTTGCTAAATCAATCTCTGAAGTGCTGCTAGATGCATCAGAATCACTTGAACCGTCCAAACTACCTATCTCATCATCAACTTCACTTCCACACAGAGAGTTTAACAAATCATCAGAGATGCGGTCAATGTCTATAATACCAAACTCTTCATCTTGCTCATTCAATTGATTTGATTGATTGGATTCATTCGATTGATTCGATTCATTAGATTGATTAGATTGATTTGAATGATTTGATTCATCGGAATCATCGGAATCATCGGAATCATCAGATCCACTCAATTCATCAATAAGTGCATTTTGTATAGCAGCCAATTCCGACACTAGCGGTGGTAGATCAGGTGAGCGTCGTGCGGGTTGTTCATGTTCAAGCACGAGAGATCTGTGTTTGGATTCTCTGACATGAAGCCTGTCAGAAACAAATCTACTATGACATAAAACACATTCAAACATCTCTTTGTTTCCCTGTTTTACACTGACAATGACTATATGTAATACATGCCAAATATCAGTTTCATGTCTCTTTCTTTCTTATGTCAGAGAAGTTTGAGACCTACAGCCATCTG